CAAAATAATTAATGAAATAAATAAAAAAAATAAACAAAAGGTTCCCGTAGAGTACTACGGAAGTTTAGGGTGCTAATACCTTCCCTAAATTTAACCAACCCCCGAACCTTAGATCTCTCCCTTTTAGGTTTTTCCTTTCTTTAACCTTTCCTTCAGATAAATCAAAGACCGGTTGTAAATGAATTAAGATTCAAGTTAATCAATAGCTTGACATCCAAATTTCACCGCAACACCGACCAAGCTACAACCTTAAAGACCTTAGTGATCTTTTTTCTTCCAGATTTTCACTTTTGATTGTTAGATGTTGTATGAATTAGATTGTTATTGGCATTGTTTGTTAGGTGAGTGAAATTTTCCCCGCGGTTGCAAACGCGTAATTTCTTCAATCCTTATTCGAAGAGGAGAGATAGAGTGATTCATTCATGAAAAACTTAGTTGTTGATTGATGCATGGCTTGATATTTATTTAAAGAATTTAGTTCTTGTGCATTGTTTGATTCTCAACAGTTAAAACCATTGCTTGTTTGCATTCTTTGTGTTTGAGCCATTTTATCCATTCTTGGGTGAATTTTAAGTCTTGAGCAAATCCTCTTGTTTGAAATGAGAGGCATAATTTTCTTGAAGACAAGCAAAAATTTAGTTGGAGAGAGTTGTTAGATGCCAAACTTTGCTTTATTGCTCTATCAAATGTTGGCATCTTTCACTCTTTTTGTAGATAAATCGAATTGAATCACTTATGTTTTAGATGATATGCTTCATTGCTTGAAAATGCCTTGGTTGCTTTGATTTATGTGTTATTGTATAGGAATTAGGCACAGAATAAGAAGAGTAAGACACAAGAACATTGACAAGGAAATCAAGTCAGCAGCAAAAAATCAACAAGTTCGCACAACGAACTTGCCAGCGAAGACCCTTGGGAGCATGGTACTGTTCATCCAGAGAGAAAAGAGACTGAAACTCGTTGTGCAAAGGAGCTAGCGAATCGTTCACTGGAGTGAAGTCATAGCGAAGTGCTAGCGAATGGCCCAAGACCTGAGGCAATAAGTATTTGGATAAGAATTCGTTGTGTGAAGTTTCTAGCGAAGGCTTCGCAGTGCGAAGGATTGTTCGCACAGCGAAATATGGAAATGTCTTAGGATGGTTTAATTGTACACTGGCACTTTAAGTGCCACATTTGGATGTTCGCTAGGAGAATAGAAGCTTCGTAGTGCGAAGGTGACAACAAAGTAGCATGTCTATAAGTACTTGAGACCATTTTTTGGCACTTACCACTTTTTCATACCTTTTCACATTTTGATATTTTTCAGTAAGAAAACCCTAGTTTTTCCATTTTCATCATCTCTTAGCCATCTTTCACAAAAAGAAGGTGGATTCCCATCCAATCTCGATTATTCAACTTGGATGTTGATTAACCTTCTTCCGAAACGTGTTGCTCAAGCTACCATGAAAATTGGTGGCTAAACCCTTTTTGTGTCAAGAATACTAGAGGTAGTTAATTATGATTTTATGTATTTCATTTGATATTTTGTATGTGAATAAAGCTTTGATCAACATAGGTGAAGTTATTTGCTATATTTTTTTGTATTTATGGTTTGGATTGCTTTAGACATAAAATTTTCAAGTCTTGACCTAATTTCTTCATCTATCAACTAACAAACTCTAAACATAGATTTGGGAGTTGATATTCGCATTGTATTGATCTTAATGATTATTGTTTCGGGTGTTATTAAGAGAGATCATTTAACGGTCGAAACAATAATGTTCGCGAAATCGCTTTAGAGATGAACGGTTTTATGAGGATACGCGATTATATTGGTTAAAACTAAGTTCACATATTCGATTGATTGGATACATTTAAGACGGATTAGTGAACCCTAATCTTGGCATGCTTTTTATCAAACTAAAACCAACTTTTACCTTGTTTTACTTCTTGCAAACTTATGTTATCAAATAGAAACCATTTGAAAACTCCTCTACTTAAATCACTAAAATATTGAACGACAAGCATCAAATATTCTCGTACAATCCCTGCAGATACGATAAAACACTCCCGACTAAACTTTTCTAACAGGGAACTTAAAAGCCTTAGTAGGTTTATAACAATTGTAATTTTATATGGCTTGCCCATGGCGGCGGGAAGCCCTGTATGGTGGTGTTTTACGATGGTTTATGGGTCTAGTTCACGTGAGGTAAGAGGTCTTGTGGATGGACAATGTGCTTAGGTATAAGCTTTTTGGGGTGTGACCATGTAAGATATGATTGTTAATAAGCATTGTGCTTTAGGGTATAATGATTTTAATGACTTAAGATTTGTCATTTCTTCTGCATATGAGATGTATTTATATAGGCCTTTAGGTCCTATAGTTCTCTTGGGAAAGTTCACCGTCCACTTAGTTAATGGTGGTCCATTGAATCCCTATTTCTCAGGAAGTTGTGGATAAGTTATTGACCCCGACTTTGCTCTGCCCAAGAAATGCCTTATCCCACATTTACCACTACTAGACGATAGGAAATTTATGGGGCAAGGAGATACCTCCCTTTTAGCGACTTTCCAAGATCGCCTCTTATGGGGAGGTCAAAAGGCATCACCCTAAGCGAGGCCCTTTAAAATTATCACACTATAGAAATAAGCAAAACATGTGTGCAAGATCTTCTTAGGGATGCATCTGATATTCAGATTATTGAACATAAAGAATATCGAAGAAGAAGGACTTTAAGGGAATATTTTCATCCATCAGTGTGTTGGTACATTGAATTTTCAAAAGATTGAGAATGCAACTTCATCAAAGGATCTATGGGACATTGTAGAGAAATATCAAGTTAGTGATGACAAACTCAGGAAATTTGGGTTACAAACATTGAGAAAATAATTCCATTTATTGTAGATGGAGAACAATGAGAATGTTACTAAGTATTTCAACAAGACCTTGATGGTCACCAATCAGATGAAAAGTTGCGATGGATTTGTTTCATATAAAGACATTATGAATAAAGTGATTTGCATTCTCTCTTCCAGATTTGATTATGCTGTGATGGAAATTGAAGAATCATAGGATTTGTCTTTGATGGAGGTTGAGGAATTGCAGTGTTCCTTGGAAGCACGTGAATAGAAGATGCTTTAAAGAACCAAAGAACGAGTGAGTGAACAGGTTATGCAGGCTTGTTCATCCAAGAAAGGTTGTGGTTTTAAGTGGAAGGGAAAAAGAGATCTCAGCAAGATAACTCTAAGAAATATTATTAACCTTGATAATTTTCATAAAACAATAGTTTTCTCCAAATCGGAAGGGAAAGAACCTAATGGAAAAGAAGAACGTCGAATGTTATAATTGCTAATGATTTGAACATTTCGCGTACGAGTGTAAGAGCAAGTGTGTTCCTAAAGGTGGAGGTAATATAGCTAATGAGGCACACATGACTCATGGTGAGAGTGACTTTAACTCAAACCCTTTCCTTCTGATGAAAACAATAAATGATGAACTTATACGCATAGAAGGGTGCTATTCAGACATGGGTTGTTCAAATCACATGATAATTCATCGAGAATGGCTAGTCAACTTTGATGATTCAAAAAAGGTGAAGATAAGATTTGTTAATAATAGAACTGTTCCATCAGAGGGATTTGGTGATTTTTTAATCAAAGGAAAGCAAGTGAATCAAGCATTTATCACCGATGTTTCTATCTAATAAAGACCAAAGATGAGGTTCTTTCAATTCTCAAGAAGTGTAAAGAGATGAAAGAAAACAAGAAGGAAGACAACTCAAGATCCTCCGGAGTAATGGAGGTGGTGAATACACTTAAAGAGAATTTAAAACCTTTTATGAAGAGATGAGAATTCAGCATGAGATCAGAAAAATACACATCTCTCAACCTAATGGTTGTGCTGATAGTGTGAGCATGACTGTCATTAACATGATCAGATGCATGTCGGAAAGAAAAAAGAAACTTCCACACGATTTTGGTGTGAAGTTGTCAGAAGTTCCTATTATGTGCTAACCAAAAGTCCAAACTATATATTAGACATGATTTTAGAGGAAATACGTTAAGTTCACACTCCACTTGTCAATCACTAGGAGAACTTTGGGTCTTTATGTTCAAACACATGACAAACCAAAGAAGGATGAAGCTTGGAGATAAGAGTAAAGTGATGATTCTTGTAGGCTATCACACTGCAATTCCTTACATGTTATATAATTTGATGACTTAGAGGATTGTTTCAAGCATAGATGTTACAATTAATGAGCGTTAATGTTGAAATATGAAGGGTCAAAAGATGTTGAGTCATCTTTAAGTGTGTCAGTTTTATTCCATGATGACTAGAGGGAACCTCATATACTTGTAAAAGGTATTCTACAAGTAATACAATCAAGAAGATAGAGCGATTCAAAAAGATAAGAAAAATATTCAATATAATCAGTATAGATACTTTGAATTAAGAGAGAACATTGAAGTATAATTTAAATTTAAAAGGTGTATAACTAAGATAATAGTGTATAAATAAGCCTTATTGATTCATTAATGAATAAAAACAATTGCAAATGAATGTGAAAACAATACACACAAAATTACTTTTGTTTCATCTCTTTAACCGTGGTGTTTTTTTTTTTTTTTTGAAAGAATATGGTTGGGGTCATATTTTGCTATCATCTCATCCCTCGAGTTTAAGACTTTATAAAGAAAATCGAGTTACAAAGTTCACATGTCTACCATGAAGCTAATCATGAAATTATGGATGCTTTCACTAAATTAAATTTAAGACTTATGTCATTTGAATTGTGGAGAAATAGCATTACAAAATCACACAACATGTCAAAAAAAAGTATGATAACACACATCAAACTATTCTTTCAAAACCTCCATAGCCTAACACACCATTAATCCTCTTTATGTCACAATCTCATAACAATTATAATAATAATACATGAACCAACTTCAAATTTACAAGCAAACATTCCTGACTTTTTCCAATTCAATTCCATGTCTCTTTCAAACCATTATATTACTCAACAAATAACACAAGCATTAGGATTCTCTTCAACACTTTGAACATGATAATATGTAGTCATGTAAGGATTATATGCTCTATATTGCTTCACAAGCTCAGCAATTTGTTCATTTGCATCTTTCTTCTTCTCGTCTTCTTTCTTCTTGTTATCGTCTTTTTTTCCGTCGTCTTTTTTCTTCTCCGGCTCTTTCGCCGGCCCCACGGTTAGAATCTCAGTGTGCCATTTTCTCAATTTGCTCACAACATCCACTGGGTCTATGTCACCAACTACTGTCAGCTTCTTCTCTTTCATGTCCATGGCGATTGAATCAATGCCTACACTCATGTCATTTCATTTTCAATTTGCATAATGGTGTATAACACAATGTTATATTTTTTTTTATTTTATTAAATTAGAGCATAACTAAATAATTAAATAAATATATGCTAGCCGTCCTTTTTTGTCCAAATTCATATGATTAAGAATTTCTACTAAAAAGACAAGCTTATAATTTAGTGTTATTAAATTAATTATATTTTTTTCTGAGTTTAAATTTTAGTAGTCACGTCTAACCTAATAATATCGACTTTTTTTTTATTGGTTTGTGGACAAATTAGTGACCATAGTGAGTGTACCTGAAAGGCCAGAAACTGATTTCATGGCTTTCTGTTTTGCTTTATCGTCATGCAAATCCAACTTCACCACCACTTTCTACAACAAAACAAAAAAACATCAACAAAACATGTTAATTAAGATTTAAACTTGTATTAAATCTTGTTTAGAAGGTTATGCTCTAACTATCATAGTTTTATGAATGAAACAAGTAAGAAAATGATGAAGTTGGTGTGATATAAACATCTTAATCTACTATAAGAAATACTGAAAACTTGAATTTTATTGCTTATTTTGAATAGGAAAGAATCAAGAAGGAAATTGAGTAGGAAAGGGACAAGTAATTTGGAGGAAGAAACTCTCACCTTCATTTTGAGGTTAATAAGGGGGTGTGAATAGAAAATTGAAGAGCAAGGAGGATTGAAGTGAAGAAAGAACCGAGAAAAGATGGAAATGAAAATTGGTGTTGAGAGAATAAGTAGAAAAACAGAGTCACAAGGACGTTTAAGATACTCCAAAACAAGTCAAACTTCAATTTAAACAAGAAAAAAAAAACCCTTTTAAAATGAATTAAGGGCATTTAAATCATGAGTAGAAAATACACTATTTCCAATTTTATTTTTATTTTTTTCTTTGAAAACTGTAAAACTTTAAAATGTAATAAAGTTGGAATAGTTATAATAAACATAATAATAATAGGATAATTTTATTTAAATTTAAATTCATTGTAGATTTTTTATAATTTACTTGTATGTTTTAAATCGGATAAAATAATTATTTATTATTTAATTTATTAGACGTGCACAACAAGGAAACCAATTTAACAACTGCCCCTGCACAAACGAGTTGCTGTCAATCAATCTAGATGGTTGGATATGAAGGATGTTGGAGGCTTTAGGTGACGTGTAGCATGCAATGTCATTTTTGAAAGAATTTATTTATATTTATATATCTCATAATATTATATCAATGGTTAAATATATTTGTTTTAGATTAATATAAATGTGTTTTTTTTAATAAAGTTATGAAATGGTTAAATATATTTAGGTGACGTGTAGCTTTAATAGAGTTTCAAAGAGGTGGCTGCCAAATAATTTCCAAGAACATAGGGGTTTTGAGATACAAAATTATGACATTGAAATTTTTTTAAATAGCAAAATCTTGCTTAGTTTTTTCTTGCTTGATATTTTGTAAATGTGATATTGAAGTTATATACATCTATAATGTAATATATTTGAGTTTTTTAAATTTATTTGAAAAAACCCATTCAATTGTTTATGAATGAGGATTGTTGTTCTTATGATTCGGATACATGATATTGTTGGATATTTAGATAGAAGTAAAAATATAGTTCTTAGGGGTGTTTTAACAAAACTTGTGTCAATTACAAAAATGACTTTTTTAATAGGTACATTTTCTCCATGTGTTGTTTGTTTTTGTCCAAGGATGAGATTATTTATGATAGTTGATTGTATTTACCAATTTTTACAATAATAGTTTGTTGCATTAAGCTCTACCAGACAACATTTACCTACAGAAGATTGATCAAGAGATAGGAAGGATCTAGAAAAAGTACAAAGTTTTGAGAATAATATCAATTCTATTAAAGAAATATTGTATAGATGATCAAGAAAACCCTAGAGAAAATGTTAACTTAAATGTTAATCTAAGACATTAGTCATCATTGTGGGCAAGGTCAAGAGCATTCAATGCAAAATAGACTTTTATTCTCTTGCTTTGTTGTATCCCAATTGTCGCTACTGCGAAAATCGGCGCCGGCTAAACAGAAGAGTCGCCACCGTGCGTTATTTATCCCAACGGAGGGAAAGGAAACGCTCAGAGTAAACCTAACGCAAAACGGGAAAGGAATGGTCGTCGCAACCAAATCCTGGATTCGGGAGTCGATTACGCAAAGGGAAGGTATTAGCACCCCTCACGTCCGTCGTACTCGACGGGATCCACGATTGTTTTCTGGTACGGATTATTATTCTATCTACACTACAGGTCTGGGGTTAAAAGAAAATAAAATGACTCGGCAAAGTATCGCACTTTATGCCTACGTATTTCCGTCTGGAACGAGAAATCAGAGTCAACGTAGTTCGCCTACCTACTGGAAAGGAGGTGAAGGTTGCTCGCTAGGATACGGCATCCTATGCCTACGTACTTTCATACAGCATGAAAGATCAGAGCCAACGTAGTTCGGGCCACGGAAGACACAGATTTGTCTGACTGTTTTTTATCTTTCTGAAAAAGTTTTTCTCCTGATTACGGGTCCAAGCGGACAAAAATGACGTTTTGATTGGTTTTCAGTCTTTTATGCAAGAACTGTCTTTTATTGTGTTTGAAATGTTATTGTGTTTTTGCATTATTTTGAGATAAGAAGAGAAACGACGCTCTAAACTCCTATGGTTGAAAAGGGGAATCAAAACTACCCTAATGTTATCATGCATGGATGAAAGCCTAATGTTTGTCATATTTCTCTCTTGCGCAGAGAGAAACAGAGATCCTAGGGGATAAACGGAAAAGAAACAGCATATATACAGTAAAGCAGTAAAATGCATGAGATGCAGCAATACAAGCGAGGCAAGGGAGCCCCACTCAACCTCGAACCTGGGAAAACAATAGGAAAAGTGAAACAGCTTCACTTCAAACCTAAGGGGCAAGCTGAACAAGCCAACAAACAATACAGTAAAAGAAAAACAAAACCCCAAAACCAGCTCTGACAGCACACCAGCTTCTACAGCAACAGCTCTGAAAAACAGCAAACTCTGACAGTTGATTAACAGCAAAACAGTAACATCTTCAAGTGAACCCCCAAAATCAAACTTCAATAGCCTCCAAGCTTTAGAGAAGCTCCATCTTCAAGAAACACCAAGCTCTAGCAAGCAATGCACCCCAAACAGTTGACAGCTTCAAATAGCGGTAAAACCCTAATCCAACCGTTGAGCAGCTTTGACAGGCACAAGCTTCTCCTTTATCCATCTTCAATGAAATGAACTTCTTATGTCCAAGGCAAGCACTCCAGAAGAGAATCACTTAACAGAATAAGTTAAATGCTAAACAGCTTATTGACAACCAAAGGAAGCCTATAAGTGTTTAACATTATGAGAGACAGGTTCCCTCAAAGTTCTACTTCCAAGATAAGCCACGTATCCCTCCAAAGGAGGGATGTGAATATCTTAGAAGGACTTTTAGTCATTGGGAGGAATGGGAGCACAAGATGCTTTCCATGTTTGTAAGAAGAAATCATTCTAATATAAAGACTCTCCCTATTTTTCCTATCTCCTAAGTCTTTAACAAGCACCTTCAAGCACAAGAATCCCCAAGCTACAAGCATCATTATTTGTCTTCAATCTTCTTTCATGCTTCCTCATGCTCCACAAGCCAAGCCCAAGCCCCACACCCCAGTTGAAATGCCCAAAACCCAACAAACAAAGCAACATCCCAAGTGGGAAACACACCAATATCAACCAAGTTGCAAAAATCAAGTAAAATGGTAAAACTCACTATAAAATCCTAATTGAATTTCTAAGGGACCCTAATTATGTACCCTATACCCCATATAAACCCCAAGACCTAAATCAATTTTAAAACCCCAAAACTATGCCCTAAACTGCACCTAATTGTTGTGAAACCCTAATCCTGATACCTATCCTATCCATCCCTCAAATTAATCTAAATCTTAGTCACAAAAATGTGAAAAATTTCCTAAGGTTACATGCTTCCCTAATCTAATCAACCTCACAAGAATCAAACAAAAATCATGCACCAATCTCTCATACTAAATTCAGAAAAAATCAAGTACTAAACAAATGCAAAATAAAAGCAATAATATTGTAAAATATGCCAAAAATATAAAAATGTATGAAATCAATATTTTTATTATTTCACAATTTTCTAGAGGTCCTAAGGAAACTAAGGAAAAAAATTCCATCCTAAAATGATCATTTTCCCCTTTATTGTGAATTATTTACTAAACTACATTCAAACATGAAAAAATGAAAATCAATTAAAAAAAAGAAAAACAGACGTGGTAAATAGCAAATATTTACAGTTCAAAAATGAATTGGGCTCAGGGGGGGTGCCAACATCAAAACGCGCTAAGCTCATTACTAATTCAGAAAACCATTACAAAAACAATAAAAAGGAAAAAACTGGGGGGGCGAATAGCATTTATTCGCCTTGTTATTCTCAATGGGCCTCCAATTGGGGGTGTGAGTAGCAAGCTGGTCCCTGGCCCAAAACGAAAACACACTGGGAAAGGGGGTGTCACAGGAAAACTGGGGTACGATCAGCACAAGCACAATGGGCCTAAGGCCCGAGTCCACTACCAACTCTATCAGCACAAAAAACCCTAAGTCACTACCTCACTGTTCATCATCTTTCTCAGTAAGCCCTAGCGGCGCCCTTATCCCTCTCTCAAACCTCTCTCTCTGAAACGCTTCAGAAAAAAAACTCTCACAAAACTATCACATTCGCAAGCTTATTCATCAACCTCACAACCTCGTTCACATAACCCTATTCATCACAATCACAAACTGACACCTTCAATTCCTCAGCCCAGATTAAACCCCCAAAACTAACACGTTTGCAAACTAACGTCAACCATCCTAAACTCTCCAGCTAACAAAACAAGAAAACGATAGATGATGAGTTCGGAATAGGAACCTGGATGGATGACTCAAACGGCGAAGACTCTGGATCTTGGATGAATCTTGGAGCAGCTTCTGGAGATTTGAAGGTACGGAGACCTACGGCGGCGGCGTCGTTCGCGTGACAAAGATCCACGAAGATCTTAACACTGAAGGAATTGATGATGTTCTTGGACTGCTTGGAGGATCTGGTGACGAGATCGGAAGGATTTGAAGATCGTGGAAGCTCTTGTATGAATCTCTGGTGTTATGAGTTTCTGGACATTCGAGGAATCTGGAAAAAAAATTTGAAGATTGACGAAGTTGACGAATTTCTGGCGAATCTGGAAAAGAGATGATGAAGATCTTGTAATTCTGGAAAAAGATGATGAAGATCTTGTAATTTTGGAAAAAAGATGATGAAGATCTGAATTGATTGCTGACGAATATGAAGATTCCGGCGAAAACACGTTTTTTGGCGAGGAGTGGACGGAGCTAGATGATGAAGATTGAAAAGTGTTTGGCTTAATTTTCTGGAAAATTCGGTTTCCGCCGGCCTCAACGATCTCCGGCGACGGTTGCGGCGGAGGGGAGGTGGTCCGGCGACGGTTGCATGCGTTCCGGCGAGGAGTGGTTAGTGGATTACAGCTGGTGGGCATGCAAGGTGGAGTGGCGGTGGTGGATGCAGAGAGAGACAAGTGGCACTGAGAGAGAGTGAGGAAGGGACACGTGTGAGGAGA